CTGGGTCACTGAGCGTTATAGCTGAGCAACATATAGAGGCCCACACATTTCTCACCACCAGCCCATTGCATCTGCAAAAAAAAAAAAAAAAAAAAGGAATAGGCTTTCCAGAAGGGTCCTCGCATTAGCAATAGACCACATCTTGCAATGCAGTATGTTGGCCATAGGGGAGAGTCCTCAACCCTCTCATCAAGGATGTAAGTCAGTGATCAACTTCCCAACTACAACTGCATCCATCTGGAGGTGGCAACCCTTTCCAGGAGCAAACCTGCTCCCCACCCCATCACGGTATGCAACCATTCAAATATTGACCCATTCATGTTATAAACTCTTCTGGGTAGGCTAGACTGCACAATGCACAACAGTATTAAATGTCTGTGCAGATGGGCTGTTAATTGGTGGTTGAATGATCAGTAAACAGAGACGTGTGCAGAGAGCTAGATGGAATCTTGTGGAAATTAGACTTGGCGTCCATCCAAACTCAAATTATTCCATGGAAACAATTGTACAAGGAAGACAAAAAACACACACCAGGGCTTCCTATTCAGAAAAGAAATCATGTTTCAAGCCTGAGGGTTATATATGAAACAAGGTTCAATTATTTTTATTATTACATTGCATTTAAATCCTCCCTCCCTCCCACCATCTGCCTGCCTGCCTGCCTGCCTGCCTGCCTTCCTTCCTCTTGCAAGGAATCCAAAGCAGCTTATAAGGTTCTCACCCTCTCAATTTTATCTGCAAAATAACAACACTGTGAAATAGGATGGGCTGAGAGGCAGTGATCAGCCAAAGTCATGTAGTGGGCATCATAGGTGAGTGAAGACTGGAACTGTGATGTCCTGGATTCCAATTCAAAATTCTAACCACTACACTACCCTGACTCTTAGTTAAGCAGTTGTATTTCACTCCATAGTAGTCCCTCTGAAATCAGTTGCCTATTTACCACTGGCTTCCATACTCACAGCCAAACAAGCCCTTTCCTACTTATTCTGGGAAAGCAGGAAAATCTGTTTCATTACCAACAGCAGATTTCTCTGATTGTGAATAGCAAATTATATTGAACATGTGATCTGGAAGTGTTCCATGTTAGTCTAGTGGGAGATACTTTGTTTTTTTAATTATTTTTTTCTTTTAACTATAAACTAACAAAACCAATACAATTAACATAATAACAATAATCATAAACATTATTTATTAACATAATTAAACAATACATCGATATCAGTGCTACCTCCACCAGAACCAACAACTCTGTGTTACTTAATGTAAAAGCATTTATTCATTCAGGTTGTCCCACCTCCTTTCCAGAACTGCAGTGGGAGATACTTCTACACAGGTTTTTCAGGATATTCCTTGTGTTCACTTCAGTATGTTCTCCTCTGGTTGTCCAGCAGGAATCCCGTATTTGTTGAATACATAGAAGGTTAATTCTAGAGTTGTCTTCTATGGAAAAAAACAGACATGCTCCTAGGATGCCCATGAGCTGTATAGTTTTTATGGGAGATCCACTGCTTAGCAGTAGAGTAAGTACATTGCATGTGCAAGTTCATTCCTCAGTGATCTGCAGGTACAAGGATCAGGTGGTGTGATGTGATGGATCACTGGCTTCTACAGAAGTAATGCTAATCACAAACAGTTCCAGGCTAGATGGATAATCTGATGTGCAGTAAATTATCACAATGTTCTTGTTCTACAAGTTGGTCCTCCTCCATCCCATTTGGGAGATGTTTGTGTGCTCCCCATGCCCATCATCCTTACCTGGAGAAGAAAAGTTTAGCCCCCTCTCTGATGGTCTAGTGTACTGTGTATGGAGGTGGGGGGGGGGGTTAAAATATGTCTCCTCACCTACACTTGATGTGTGAGAATTCTGCTTGCTCCGTCGGGCATCACATTTAGCATGAGATGCAGCATAGATTCATGGTCGTACTTCCTGGAGAAAGAGGACTTGGTTTGGGGAATGTTCACCTGAATGATTGATTCTTAAGGAATAATTGTATATTTTTCTCCAATGAAGCATCTGTTCACAGTTGGGGACAACATGCCACTGATAGTGTTACAAGAAAGAATGTCAATAGTGCCCAGGGTTGCCATATTGTCCTTGATCAAACAGGTTTTCAGGCTTTTGCACAGCTTCTAAAGCCTCTTGATTAGGCGTGCTAGTGGGAGAAAAGAAATACACACACCACAGGTAAGTGAAGTTTAATTAGACCGCCTTCAGCACTTGTCTGCCTCCAGTCAAGGCAAATGTAGTCCACCAGATGAAAATGGATGGTTAAGTAGATTAATGCCCCATTTGCTCCAATGCTCCAAACTTGCTGGTTTTCTTTTCTTCCATAATGTCAGTAAGATGCATATCTGCCTGGTTTTCTGTTCATGGGAGCCAGAAATCTTCATAGTTAATATGAAGCATGCTAACACCTCTTTTATATTCTGGGATTCAGCTAGGACCCAATGATGACATTTAAATTCCAATAAAGAGCAAAATGTGCCTTTTTGGCTTGATGTGGCAGGCACATTTATTTCTTACTCTTTTTTTAAATGATCAGTGATGTCTGAGAAAATAATGAATAATTCTAGAACTGAGCCAACAAAATATATTGAATTTCTTTCAAGAAAACTGTTTGAAGTCAAATTATGTGTCGTGCAAATTATGGGCAATGTTTTATCTCAGTGCAGTTGAGCTGCTTTGAGTGTTTGCTTCCTGAACTTCTGTAAGTATTTCCATTGTTAAAATATAGATGCACCCATTTAAACATAGTAAACAAACATATACACATCTAGAAGGGCGGGGGTAACGGACGACTCCTGAAAGTTATTAAAGAAATCACTAGAGCACTGTAGCCTACTGTTGAAAATATGGGATTGGTCATAGCTAAGTAGGTCTCATTGATTTCTGTAGATCTACTCTGAATAAAACTGGATCCAATCCATATAAAGTCATCTAGGCAGGTTGCTCTGAATTAATATGTGGGGTGGGGGCCTTTCCCCCCTTCCCTCCAAAGAGAGGATACTCTGAGGGGATCTTTTAGACGTATAGGTATGTAGGGGGATGTCATGTGGAGGAGGCCCATGAGCTGTTCCCCGCAGTGGAGGGCAGGATGTGTTCCAGTGGGGCAAGGCTCAAGGAACCAGACTTCAGGTTGGATGTCAGGAAGTCCTTCCTTACAGTTAGGACCCCTAGGATATGGAATGGGCTTCCAAGGGAGGTGGCTGAGGCCCCATCAGTGAGGGTGACCAAGGAAAGAATGGACAATCCCATGTTGGGGATTGCATGAATCGAGCCAACTGGAGTCAGGGGTCAGACTAGGTGGCCCGGGAGACCCCTTCTGGCTTTTCCGTTTCTAAATCTCTTTTAGGGAATTGTCCTTGGGCCCACATGGCCCTCCATTGGCCATGATTCCTTTAGCCTTCCATTTTCCCTTCTCAGTCCTATCTGTCTGTGCAGTGTCAACAGCTCCTGGTTTCTCCTACAGTAGTGCACTAAGTCTCCTATCATCTTCTACTCTATTGGTGCAAAGAAAAAAGGGAGAAGGGAATAATTTCACAGACTTTCTGCCTGACAGATGATTTTGCCAGAGGTGCTTTGGGAATAGGACTCACCATTCCTAGTGGCAGGAACACAGGTGGATTAGTTTGCAGCTGCTGCTGCATGGGAGAAGAGCAGCCACCAGCTTTGTAATTTGGCCACCATTTTGCATTTTCCACAATGTGCCAAAGCTATTATAATTGCAGAACATTCTGAGATGCAGGATGGTGGCTGCCACTTACCTCAAAAATGATGGAGACTATTCAGAGGAAAATTCATGAAGTGTTCTTACCTGTTTTGCTGTTTTCTGAGAAATTTTATCCACTCTGGTTTTTCCACAACCCAGTTTCCTCTTTTGTACTGTTTACCTCATGGACTAATTAACCTTTCACTGCTATGGGCAGTAGCTATACCAATTTCTAACAGTTTAAGACTACTACCTTCGCTGGCAGCCATTTCAATTTCTCTAACATGCTGGTGGCATCGAAATCAAAAGAAACCCCAAAGCCCAAAGAGATTAGAAGCCAATAGAACATTGCAAATGAGGCGCTTAGTTTGGAGAAGAGTACAGAGGGACGTTGGTTACCTTTCAGAATATAGGAGGAGTTGACCTATGGGAAAACAATGAATTCTCAAACATGGAGAAGACAGAAATTGAGTCAAACATAAGATGTAGGCTTCACAGAAGGCAGAATTAAATAAGAATAGGAGGACAGAGAAATAAATTTCCTAGTCATATCATGGCGCCCCTGCTGTGTATTTTTCAAATTTCAGAAAAGCATATGACTGGATTTTGGTGGATTCAACCCCTGGAATGAAAGATGGCGTGAAAAGCATCTGAGGATGATCTAGAGCCAGGAACCCAAGCTCTAGTTGTGCAGGGCAAAACATGAAGCAAAACTAGCTGCTCCAGATGGGAATAGAGGTCTCTGTTCACATCAAAATCTGCACCAAGTCAATTAGTTCCATGAGGTGCAGACCAGGGAAGATCACAAAACAGCTGGAGGTCACATCTGCACCTGCTGTATACTGCATATGGATCTCCATTGCTAAAGTGGTACGTGTAGACGTGCCATTATTTTTTAACGAGGTGGTATAGCTTTGGCTAGAAATAAATTGGATGGATAACCCAAAGAAATTTGTTCTAGCTCTATGACATTTGTTTTGGAGATTTAGCTACCATTCTATCTTGTTTGATGTAGAGTGAACTGTAATTAAAATGTGCAGAAAATACACCAACAAATGTTGATTCAATAAATTATTTTTCTTGACTGCCAGCACACTGTTTGTTCTTCTGACTTTGCTCTAGTATTAAAGCAGACATGGCTAACATGATCCACACTTGTGTAATTTTTGATATGAGTCAAAACTGAGAAAAAAAGGCTGCTATTTTTATTTATCCACTCTGAGGACTCACACAGCAGCAAACTGCCAGCAGGATAGTAAGAAAAAGCTCCACAGCATAAAGTACCAGTTACTTTATCATCTACATTTTATTCTTCACCCCAAATATGCCTCATAATAATTAAATACTGTCCCATAGCTTTTAAAATACACACAAAGTATCAAAATATTTGTATTCCAAAGATTATGTACATATTATACACTTTACACATATAACTGTAAACAAGTATACCTTTTCCTCCCAAACATAAGATAAACTGTTTTTGTGGCAATTAGGAAACCTCCAGAATTCATCCTGATGCACACAAGTCCACTGAAATGTTAAGAGGTTACTTTTTAAAAAAACCTATATAAAGAAATAGTTCAAAACATCTACAAAAGAAAAGTATCATCAGGTTAGTACAAAATATTACATTCATTCATATAAAAAGGCAAAGGAAAGAAACCTTCCATTATGGATTTTAGGTGGGGTTGGCAGAGTTTTCTGTAACTTCTCTCCTCTGGTGGAAGATGATGCAATTCATTCTCCACCCAGTGTAACAGTGTTATACACTCCCAAAAATGGTTCTACAGCTCCTCTGTGGATGTGAAGTTCTGCATGGATGCCATAAAGAATTCAAACCTTCCAGGCTTACAAAAACCTTTCCCACATCTTTTTCTCTTCCACAGAAACCTTGCATATTTATTGCTGAACATCTTATCACTGCAGAGGAATCTGGCATGTTCAATGTTGAACTGCAGGCAGCTCTGAGTGTCAAAACTACCTCCATACAACATTTGCTTGGCCATTTCCAGCAGAACTGCATAAAAGGCACACGCAACATGGCTTGTCCACAAACACATGTTCTGCAACGCAACAGCAATTCCCAGGTGCCCACCACGATTGCAGGAATGAATGGAAGGAATACATGGGAGGAATACATGCTGCCTTCCATTTGCAGCAGAGTTGCACAGCACATCAGCGGTCCACATGCGCAGACCTTCACATGGCTGACAACAGCTCCAAGGGTCCAAAGATGACACGCCAAGAATTGCTGCTGCAGCAGAATGGAAGAAGAACAGGGAAATGCATTACAATGCACATCATTATCACCAAGGTTCTTGCTTCTGGATAGGCCACTGTGAACTGCTGCCCAGGGCCCATCTCTGACCCCCCGGCCCCTGTTAATCTCTTCTGGTATTACAGATGGGCATGCAGAACTAATTTCATAAGGGAACAGGGTCAGCCATTGCTTTGACCAATCTGATTCCTGTTAAGATTATGGGAAGAATGATACCTCAGTGGAAGCATAAAAAGGCACTAGACAAGGCAGTCTGGTTAGTTCCCATCCTCTGGGATTATTTGAGTTAGCCCTTCAAAATTCATAGAATTATATGAACATTACAATGATACACCAGGAGTGGGGAAGCTTGGATGGGGGCCCCAGATTGCCACACCCCCTTCCTGTGGTAGCAGTCCCCCCACTGCCCCAACCATTGGGTTGCTTCTTGGCTTTTGTGCTGTTCCTTTCCCTTTTCAAAGAGCTGAACTGTCTCTCGAAAGCTTAGTTACTGGCAGTGAGAGTTTTAAGCTAGACTGTGTGGCTGGGCCTTTTCCAACCCGCTGCTGGAATGTGGCTCCAAGATCTGAATTTGCTGCTCAGGCTGAAAGATGCTCCCCACCCCTATAAGGTGAGCAGCATACAGGCAATGTGTGGTCCATCATCTTCTCCCTTATAAGAGATTATGCCGGATGGAACTGGGCGCAGCTAAAGTCTGATATCCTTCACCATGCCAAGAAAACACTCCTCATTTTGGTGGGCTGCTTTATTACAGCTAGGTAGATACTTCCCAGAATGAAGAACGTTGTTTTGCTTGCTTGGAAGGCATTGGGAGCACTGGATACCAGGTCTATTTGGTTCACCACTTTCAGAACAAAAAGCAGACTCTAACATATATTTAGGAACCCTGAACTGAGTGAACACTTCCAGATCACATTCTCTCAATCTACTTTTGCTTCACGTTCTTTCTGTTCTTCTGCAAACACATTATTAAATTTCATTTGAGATACAAGGACCATAAGCTCTCCTATCCCTGCTTTCCACTTCCTGGGGATCCGAAGAACCCATGCAGGTAAAGGTGAAACTATTCATTACATTAATGATGTAATGTGCAGCTTTCCTTTTTGTTTCAGTCCAGCAGAACTAGAAGGTACGAGGTTGCAGAAAGTTGGTCTAAAGGAAGCACCTGAGAAATCCTTTCTAGCTGCTTTCCTCCCAAAACTCTCCCACCCACCCCACTACCACTTACAGGAAAAAGAGTTCACTAGTGTCACCTGAGATGTTTTCAACAACCATGGGTAAGAGAGTAATTCAGGGAAAGAATTAAACTTTTGCTGCTCACACACAGTTGTCCTGATCTGCTCCGTCTCCCCAACTTGCTAGTTTTCTGCTTGCAGGGACAGATGAGTCTCTTGTGGGGAGAATCACTTATATAAGCTCCTATCTCCAATCTGTACCAATACAGGCCAGAGAAAGTTTCATCACCCCCGGAGCTGAACTGGCAGGAAGCCTGTGAACAAATGTCCTGACCTTTATAAAGAAATGGTAAATGCAGACACACACGGTACTGATTTGAACTACTGTGGTCATTTAACCATATGTTGCTTCCCTCAAGGTGCTACCTGCCCTTTAGGGAAAAAATGCAGGTTACATAGGGTATGAATGAAACATACACCATAGTCAAATCATGTTATTGCACTAGAAAGCTGCAGAATTGCAGTAGAGGCTCAACTGCTGTAAAGCATAACAAGTATTGACCAGGTTGGCTGTGCTCTTTAAGGCCTGCATAGTCTGCATAGTTCATTTATGTTTATACAGAAAACCATGTTTTATACATAAAAATTTGGCACAACTCACAGCATCAGCAACATTGCTGCAAACAGTATAAACAGCATGGATTTTTATGCACAAGCCAGTGCAAGTCAGCAGCCCGTTTTCTCAGTCTCTAAGAGACCTGCGTAGTTTAAGGGCCAACGGCTGTCCCTTCCATATTGCCAGGTCAAATGCACAGGGGCCTTTCCATATTCACTGCGCTGCTCAGGACAATAAAGACGCCATGGGAGGGAAGCTTCAAGATGCATATCTTGGTTTTAGATCAAGTCTAGTGATGAAGACAGAAGCTGGGAGCTGGGAACATTCTGGTTAAAATCTCAGGTCAGTTGTGACTTCATGAGGTTTGTTAAATCTGTTCCATCTGTTTTTTGTGGGTATTTTGTTCCACGATCTGCTCACTGATAGAACCAGATTCTTCTGTTTCCTGACCTGTGTTTGAAGGGTATACATTTCCTTGATAACCAAACAACAAGGGTCAGTTACTTTGGGTTCTATGAGAGAGACACATAAGGGTAAAAAATGTAAAATAAATCTCTGTCTAGAAGGTCAGACTTTGTAAAGATAAGCTTTGAAACAGATGTTTTAACACCAGATGTCCTAAGGGATGATGTGGGCCAAGATAACTATGTACAAAAAATAAAGGAATACTCGTATTTCCTGCTGATTATTCTTTCCCCTTTTTGATGTAGAGTGCTGCTTTTACTGAGCACTGGTTTCCTGCTACCATGTTTTTGTTATTAACTATTACCAAAAGCTAAACCTGCATATTGGCTGTACATTATAAGCGGAACAGATGGTCCTTATGAGACAAGCTCTCACTCTATATTGCTACCCTGTGCCTACAATAAACATACACACATACATAAACACAATTCTGCTGGTTTTGCCTGTCTCTCTCTGTCAGACAACGATCTAGAGGGACTTTTTTGTCGCCAACATGTTCATGTTGGAAAGTGAGCACTTGTGTATTTGTACAAATCTTTCAGCTACCCCAAAACTTTGAACTGCCACCCTTTAACTTATGGGGACATTTTCAGCCAGTGCTTTGTTGTTCTGTTTTCCTTAAAAAACATTTTGATTACTTGTATTTTGATATGGCTAAATTCTGGAAAGTTTTGCATACAAGTCCATGGAATCTGTGAGACTCAGAAAAAGCCAGTCCGCTTTGCAATTTGCAGCTTGGATTGATAGAAATCAGAACTTATTTGAATCTGTTGCTCATTTCTCCAACATCCCTTTCTGGAAGCCAATGAACACTATACCACTGCCCAGTTCTCAGCCATGGCTAAGGGTCTGGATGGAAGCTAGCAGTCTTTCTTCCTCCCCAACTGCAAGCCTCAGCATTCTTGTGCTTGCATTTAGCACCTGACCTTCCTAACCAGGAACTGAATCCAGGGTTTGAAGCTGCTTTACTCTCAGGAGTAAATGATGGCTTAATACAGTAGAGACATAACAACTAACCATGATTGAGACCAACAATAAAAGACGAGGGAGGAACAGAGGCACAGCCTGAAGCCTTTTAGCATTACTTGCTCAAAATCCAGGGACAGCAGCACTTGTCTACCTGACGAGACAGATGTAAGGTTCATGGAAATGGCATGCATGAATCAGTACTCTGAGCTCTTATGAAATGCACAGTATAAAAAGTCTTTTTAAAATCCCAAAGAGAACCCCCATGCAATTTTAATGAGTTCGGCAATGCTTAAAAAACAACTCTGAATATTTCATCCTCAAATCAGTGTAGCTGATGAATTAAAAAAAAACTAGATGGAAAATAAAGTCACTTATTTAAAGTCCCAGGGAAAAAAATAGGAGGAAGCTTCCCTAACAGCATAATCCTAAATGGCTCTCCTAAAAGGAAGCTATAGTGTTTTCAGTGGTGCTTGTGAAGCCCAAAACAGCCACACAATTCAATAAAAGACCAAGGATACACTGCACTTCAGTGGGGTTCACGCCTGTTGGTTTATCTCTATACAGGCCGCAGAATCTATTGCAATGGCCTGAACAGACCTTCTGTCCAACACATCTTCGCACATACTCTTGCTGCATGCATGATGAATGCATGAAATGCTACACCTGTGTGGATGGGGTCAATTGTTTGGATCAATCCAGGACAATCAACACCTTCTAGGTAGGGAGGGGAGCACCTGGGTGTGAGAACCCCAGAAAAAGTGCTTCAGCTACAAGGTATCCTTTACAGAGTTGCTGCAAAAAAGATGCAGGCTGAATCCACTCAAATCAAAATGAATGTGTGGTAAGGCACCAGCATAGGCAGGTCCATAGAAGAGAGCATGACTAAGATACACCACCCAAGTCTTCCTCAAACACTTAGGCTTAGGCACCTATTTTGGGGTGTGTGTGTTTTGATTTTTTTTTTCTTTTTCTTTTCTGAAGCTAAAAGCCGATCACTGTCCGGCCAATGCCAAACAGATTTAATTTGAAACACACCTCCAAACATTTTGCAAGAAACTTAATTTTTGTCAAAGGGAAACACAGGGGATGGGGTGGGAGGAAAATTACCTCGTCTATTTGTTTTTGTCGCATACTATCTTGTATAAAAGGAATGCTATTCTAAAATATTGTGTTCCTATAAATGCACAAAAACACCCAATAGAAAATTGTAAAATATATATTCATGGAAGAGCTTCACTCTTGGTCTCTAGCATCTATTCTGGGGGATGAAGACATACAATCCACATGTCTCCACTGTAGCACGGTCCTTTTTAGAAGCCTATGTCCGTTTTTCCAGACCGCCCAGAATTACATTTCTCCTCGTCTATGGGCTTTTGCTGCCACAGCACCACCTTCTTCCTCCTCTTCCTCCTCCTCCTCATAGTTGTCATCATGACTTCTTTTCTGATGGTTTTCTTCTTGAATTTCTTGTTCTTGATCTGCAGTTTCACTCATTTTCTCTTCAGCCTGGAACCAGCATGAGTGGGATTCCAAAACAAAGGTAACAAAAGGAAAATGATTATCCATCTTTAAAACAGACAAACAAACAAACAAAAATATATTCCATGGGTAAAATTCTGCATTAGGTTTTTTTTATAGCATCTGCTAAAGCAAAGCATGTTTTTAAAATTCTCATACACATCCATTGCAGAGTCAAAGGATTTGGCAGCGAATAAAACAGAATTGTTCTCCCACCGCAAGCTGTTGAAATTCTATACTTAGTAAAGCCTTGAACTTGAGTAGCAGCCCAATCCTACCCTATGGGCATTATTTGCTGGGGAAACTCAACCACAGGATTGTGACAAAACAGCTGGAGCAACATACCATGCAACATGCAAGGGGTCCCTGAAGACTCCTTTCCCCACCCCAATTCAGAATTAGGCTGGAGGTGTTGGTCCATGAAGCAGTCAGACATGATCAATAGAATCGTTTCGAGCCAGGAAAAATATTGTCATAGAAAGCAAAGAAGGCCGTAGCACTGCAGCATATGGTTTTCACTGCATTCTGAAGTCATCTCAGGGGAGCAGTGAGCATGCCAGCTTTTGCTCCTCAGCCTTGGGGTTTTGACGGACAACTCCCCACCACCCCAGACAAACACTCACCCATTTAAAAGCCAGCCCATGCCCAAGGAACTCTATCCAAAGGGGGACTGTCCACCTCCCTCCGAGTGATGTAGATTATCTCTGAACTGAAACAGCTCAAGAAACACCAAACCCACACCTTCATCGCATGGGCACACTGCAGTCGCTCCCATTTGGGGACATCACCAGGACTAGCTGAGTTTCCTGCAGTGAACAGGGAACTGTCAAGCAACTCCCATTTCCTTCTTCTTGTTCTGGGATGAAGTGCCCTGTAGGATGCATCCCATCTCAAAAGTTCGACCACAGCAGCAGACAACAGTGGCAGGATGTAGCGAGTGAGGAAGTGGAGCCCATGTTGTGGCTCACTTTCCCCACGCTGCTGCAGCTGCCCCTGTAGTGCTTTGTTCCCCAGCAGATGGGAGAGAAGTCGTGGCAGGAACTATAGGAACGTGCCTCTTTAAGACCCTTTTTAACAGGGGAGTTCTGGAAGGCTGTCCATGTTGGACTTCCTGTGTCTCTTTGCTGTTGCTGAACTAATATGTAGTAGATGCTTGATTATCATTCAGCAATAACTGATCGAGATGTTGTTGCTCCTATGGGCCATACACCATTGCAACATGAAGTAATTCCCTTAATCAGGGTTTCCAATGAGGGCAAAGTTACAACTGCTCCAGAAAAGAGAATGAATTAAATGCTAGAGGAATGCTAGATATTATTTCCAAGTTGGAAGCACATCCTATTGAGAGAAAGGTATTTGGTAAATAGGAACAGTTTTAGCCTATAACCAAAAGGTAACCTTCACTAAAGGTAGCATTTGAGCTCTTAAGCCATGTCCAGGGCATTGCTTGGGACCAGGGTACCTCCCTGCACATATATCCAGCTGATCTGCAGAAGAAGCTCTACAACCAGTGGAATACTGCCATGCCACATCTCAAAAATGGCACCCACCCTCTGCAACACCATCCCTGGTACAGTTCAGGAGGCAGAAAACATGGTGACTTTTAAACACCTCCTGAAAACATACCTGCTTACAAAGATATCTGTGTCATTGATTATTTGCTGCCATTTCTCTTTATTTATTCAATTTCATTGTAATAGTTTCAATTGTTTATGAATAGTGTATCTTACTTTTGATTTGAGTGCTTTTGCATATAAATGGGTCAGAGATATCACGTTAAGCAGTATACAAGTAATATTAATTTATACTACAAGTAATCTTAATTTAGTATTTATTCATTAAGAAAACAAATCCATTTCTTCATTCAGGATGAAATAGCAGGAATGTTCCTATTATGTGTATCTTTAATGGTTCTTTTGCCAGAATTTATGATGACTTGACAGCAACATACCTTCCAATTACTTATTGAATTCTATTAATAGGAAGGTGTTGAATTATTTTATGGCACATTTCTCTACCACTGAGCTCTATCACTAAGCTCTGAAAAGCTGATGTGGGCACCATGGCCATCACCCAACCCAGCAATGACCAGGCTAAGACCTGCCTAGCTTGCAAATCCCTGTGCCCTCAAGACCACTCTCCACTTCACGGTCTTGTTTCTGAGCTTGTTTCTGAGCTGGTCCTAGTCCCAGACGCAAGGCTGACAGTTAAGAAGGCTACCGAATGGCCCACTGCCCAAGATCCACGAAGCTTCTTGACAGGCCCATCTCCCATAAAAGAGCACCCACCTCCTTGGCCAATGCCTCCCATGCCCCCAGCAGAATGTTCCATTGATGCAGTACCTACATTATCATCATTTTCTCCGTACGGTTCTTCTCCATTGTGCTCCAGCTCCCTCTTCTTCTCTTCAGTCAGGTCTCCCTGGGCCTGCAAGGGACAGTTGAAGGCAAAGCAAGAACCACTGTGATTTACGGCTAATTTAGAAAACTTCCTTTGCAGTGCAACGAATAAGAGGGGACAACTCTTTTTTCTTCAAAAAAGGCCAAAATATCTTGCCATGCTGAGGGACAAGAATTTTCTCTTCATATAACATGGAATATGGATGTGAGACACATAATAGTTTGTGGCAGCTTTACTCCATGTCCTCTATCCATTCTCATTTAGTGTGGGTAAGGCGGTCTTCCTGCAAGGATGTGTTCTGTGGGCAGGTGTCCCATCCTGATGGAGCTACCACTTCCCTCTCTCTTCCTGCCATCTCCTCTTCCCTCCCACACTTTCTTCCTGACACCCTCTTCTTTCTTCCTCTGCCACCCCACCCAGCAGGCTTCTGGGAAGAAAGAGATTGCTCTTGTCACTGGCTGAAGCTGAGTGCTTCCAGAGGACTTTGAGAGACTGATGCCCACAAGAAATTGGGCCGAGGTTTTCCATTTCTGCATGTGTGGACTATCCATTACAGCCAGAGAATCATGTTCCTTCCAGCCTCAAGAATGCAGAAGTCACACCCAGGGGCTGCTGATTTGCCAAGGGTCCGTGTTAATTATATATTACATTTTCATTCCACACTTCCTTTAAGGAGCTCATTCCTGTCCTCCCAACCCCAATGGTACAATCCGGTGAAGTATGTTGGACAGAGAGATAGGCTTTAGGTTATTTACCTCTTCTTCTCCTTCTTCCTGGTATTGCTCATCAACATTGTCTTCTTGCTGATCAGGATTACCCACCATCTGCACATGAAGTGATCAGATTTCACAGTTAACCTCTCTGCTCTTGTGCATTTATTTTACAACCAGTCCTAGCATCATGAAGATAGATCCCTGAACAACAAGGGCCCGAGTTTAAAGGCTCATATTCCACCAAGGGTCTATGTCAAAAGATCAGGTAGAGGTTGATGATGCTGTGGATAATTATATGCTGATTACATCCACAGGAAAGTCAGTGTGGGGTGGTGGTTAGAGCGCTGGGCTGGAGACCTTGGTGATCCAAGTTCTAGCCCCCACTTGGCCATAAGCTCGCTGGATGACTTTCGGTCAGACACTCACTCTTGGCCTAATCGACTTCACAGGGTTGGTGTGAGGATAAAACGGAGGGCTGTGTAAGCTCCCCGGGTTCCTTGCAGGAGGAAAACAGGGTTGGAAATAAATGCAATATTCTCCAGGGTGGCAAAATAAGAGCATATGGAAGAGCATATCAGAGCATCCCACCCCCGCTGCCACCTTTCCCAAACTGGATTTTTATATACACACAGAGCAAATCGGATGTACGAAAAATAACTTTCTATTTATCACTTTGGATCATGTACTCCCACATTGTTTCCCCCCATATTTGAAAGGTGGCATCGTCTTTAAACATTCAGTTACTTAACATTTATTATTACGCTGGTCTTGATGAAATGAAGGAATCAACTTCAGCTTTAGACATTTTACATTATACAGGGATTTTATATTTTAGGAGAATCAATACTGATGTGCATTTTAAATGAATTTTATATTTATGTTAATTTTTGCAAGAATTACAAAAGAAAAAATCAGGAAACAGTTGCAGGACTGTATCCTTCCTGTTCTCTTGATGACTCCACCCCTACACACATACACACATACATCACGCATTGAAGGTAAGAGTTAACACTGACCAAGGAACTCTCAGAACCAGGATTTCAAATTCATTTCTTTCACGCACAGTTCAAATGGGGATGCCTGTAGCCCCCTGCACTCAAAGTAAATTCTCCTGCTCTGCAAAACAGCTGATTTTGGCCATCTGACTGCGAGACTTTGGAGGGGGAAGGAAGACGGCCGAGGAGCTGTCAGAATATATCTTATCTTGGCGGGCCAGTTACCTTCCCCCTCTGCTCCACTCCCAGGACCTTTGATCCCTTCTCCAATGCCCCTGATCTAGAAGAAGCAGCTGGCACAGTTATTTACATGCTGCCATGGAGAGAGGGATCCAAGCACAAACCCCGAGGATGGATCTTTTCAAGCCTTGGATCTGGGAATCTGAGAAATCCTCTGGGCCTCTTTGTAGGCAGAAAGACTCAGGTTTGAGCTGCAGCATCTCCTGGGAGGGCTAGAAAAGATAACTTGCCTGAAAGCCTGGAGAGCTGCTACCATTCAGGGATGAAAATATTGGGCTAGAAAGACCCCAGGTCTGACTCAGGATCGGGCAGTTTCCTTCATCCCAAAAGGCATTTAAAGCTTTAAAAAAATCCTGGTTACAGGGGAGCCATTCCTGGCCATACCTAACTGGGGTTAGTGCAACAATTCCTTGTAGCTGCATGGCAGGAAAGGGATTTGCACTCATGGAAAATGGACTCTGAAATTCCTGATTAAGATTATGACCCACATTATATTTGTACCGGCCCCAAGAAGGTTTTAAGAGTGCCTTCAGTTTCATTCTAACTCAGATTTCAAAACCTCCCAAAATAGTTTCATGCACAAAAGCTAAGCTCCCTCTCCAAGAAAATCTGCCAAAGAGTTAAACCATATTTGTGCCAGACACTATTTGTTCAAGAAGGCATCTAGCAATTTTGTAGATTGTTGCTGAGCCCTTAAAAGCAGATATATACTTCTGTAATGCTTAATGGATGTTTTGGTTTATTTTTTACCAGTGGCTTCTGAATTCCATGAAAGACAGATAAGATAAAACATTGTAAATAAATCCAGTATTAAATCTTGCCTTCAAATTAAACCATTAAAATGTAGAACAGTCCAAATGTATTAAATAAAACTAGTTATTTAGTGCACAACTGGTGTTAGCTATTGTGGCTTTTTAAACTGGCTTTAAGTTTGGCTTTTAAATTTTGTACTGTAATTTTTATTATGCTTTTATCTCTATTTTATATTGTATCTGTATTGCATTTTGTGCTGCTATAAACCACCCAGTGAGGTTCGGCCATTGGATAGTATGATGAGGATGAGGATGATAGCAGTAGCAGCAGCTGTCTAGTAAGCCATAGGATGGATAGATTGGAACTGAGAACCTGACTTCAGAATGTCTTCCCTCCACTCCAACATGTCTCTTTCCACACTGGCTGCAGCTCCCAAATCACAAAGCCCTCAGGGATTCAAGGAATCTCAGGAGCTCCTCAGTCCCTCATCCTCATGACCATGGGAGAAAGACATTTGCAGGATGGGAGGAGCACAGAGGCAATCCTTGTCCCTGTGTTGCACCCTTGCTCCATTTGATACCTGCCATCCTCTGAATTTGGGGGCTATGGGCAGCCATACTGGATGGCTCCCTCCATGGTTTCCTTTAAAACCAAAACACACACGGACTCATTGAACATTACCTGTACATGGTGGCCCCATTTGAACCTAACATCAAACCACAGTTTAAGGTTAAAAGAGCATGCCTTGGATCCTTTCCCCTCTCCTCTTCAGCTGTCAGCTGGGAGGAGCCAAGAAGCATCCAATGAGCCCACAGTTTGTTCTTTGCTTTGGGCACAATCCAGTGGGGATGCCCATCATAATTTGAACTTGGAGGTTTGTGGATATTCTATGAAGGATGGAAGAAGTGCAGATCTTCATCTCCATTCTCCCCCAAACCTGCACAGCAGCTAGACGACCAATTTCATCTGTCTAGTTGCAGTTCTTCAGATTTATCCTGGTAACTCCAGTGTCTTTCCTTCTACTGCAAGTGCCCCCTTTACCATCAGAGAAGCAGCTGGCATGTTCTTTCTGTGCTTTCTGTGAACAGGATCAGGAGAGTGATATGAGCATGGATCCCTTCTCCAAGGCCAGAACTCTTCTCAAGGAACCCAGTCAGGAACGCCTGGACCCCTAAATACTTTCTGGGGCCAGAGGAATCCTCTGTCTGAATTTCAGTTTTTGGTGGTGCAAAGGCCAAATGTTGTCTACCCATTGCATAAAGTTATGGTCTGTCTGCAGAAGCCATTTCTGATCCAGATCTGTATGGGCAAACCCTAGTTAAAACAAACTGTAGCTATTGGTGCAAAGAAGCAGAAGCAGATGCTTCCAACCTGCTCCTCACTGGTGTACCAGAAGAGAGAGCTGAGAGCAAGCTTATGCCGGTAACATTGGCTAGCAGAAGAACATGTGAACTGAGATCATCAATGACATCATCAAAAAACACTACATGTGCTCAACCAAATTCCCTCACTGAAATTTCTTCCAGGATTTTGGGATTCCTGGCATTGTTTGCAGAGCTGACATTTAAGTAGTCTGTGATTTTCGCATTTTGGATTTCTGACTTTTGTAGCTGTGAAAATCTGTAGCGATACATGTGTTATTTGCTTCCACTTTTATTTCCCCCTGTTGATTTGCAGAACTTTTTCTGTCACCCAAACTTCTGATGCTTGCACACTCCTGTATTAGTGAAACACAGTGCCTGAAGAAAATGTGATGCAAAGGTGTGCATGATTGCACTGAGATTCTTTGTGCAGCGTATTTCATCAGTATGTGCTGATGTTTGGCATTGGTAAACTGGTCAGGGGAAAAGAGGTGAATGAACATAATATAGGGCACTGACTGGGAATCCTACAGATGCTACATGAGTTTTATCATAAAACAAAGACTAAATATTTAATATATCAATAAATAAGCAAGCAAGTAAACATGTGCCAATTGCAGAGCCAGTTTTAGAAATTCTACACATTGAATCAGAAAAAAGGTGGAGTGGCGTACATAGCTGAGCAAACCCAATGGACACGAAAAGAAAGGAAAATCCACTTATTTCTAGCAAGAGTCCTTGAATACCTGTGGACGAGCATGAGCAGCCTTGCATTGCGATGCACTGTGTGTGAGGAACTGCAAAACTATTAGCTGTGATGTTTAATACATGCAAGGCATTCCTTCCTGCCCATGGGTTTCCTGCAGGGAGCTGGTTGGCCAGTGTGTGAACAGAATGCGAAATGAGACAGACCCTTGGTCTGATGAAGCCCGACTCCTCTTCTTTCGTGTGCATTTACATCGCTTGAGACTGCAGTGCTCACATGAACAGGGACTTAATCTTTTATATACTCACCACTAAATGGTCTTCCATTTCAGGATTCTCTTGCTTCTGGTTATTTGGTTTTAGCTGCTTATTTTCATCAGGTAGATTATCTCCTCTTTCTTGCTCAGCTTCTTCAAACTCATCTTCCCCCTGATTGTTGGGATCATCTGCTGGGTTCACATCCTCACCCGCTGTCTTCTGTATTTTTTAAGTCAAAAGAACCTCAACAACAATGTGCATTTTGAGGCAACATAACTAACGTTACCTTAATCACTCTCGTGTCCTTGAGAATTTCAGCAGTACACAGTATGCAAAATTACTGTATTTCTGTTCCGGCCTTCCCACAAGGAGTCACTTATAAACTCATTTTCATACATTTGTTCATTTTAGAAATTTCTATCCTGTTTTCCTTCCGCTTGGGAGACTCAGCACAGCCAGAAACATAGCAGCACAAATAATGAAGGCATAATCAAACAGCATGACAAAGTATGCTATAATCACTATCTGCTAGTGGAACAGACCACTATTGTAGCTGGCAAAGCAACGACAACAGCAATAAACAACCAGAAATGGCTGGAAATGCTTTCTCCTGCAACTGGGCAGGCCTTTGCAGGAGCAACACTAGCCTGCTCTGTTCAGGAAGTGAACAGGCCTGCTCATTTCCACACTCAGGAGCAGCTCTTCTCCTCCAGGAACTAGCAGCCTCCTCCAGATACTGCCCAGAATCAGCAATTAAAGTAATTACAATTAGATTATCAACTCAGATTCTCCAAAGGACCTCTTTAGGGAGCCAGATCCTCACTATGTGCCAGAAGGCATGTAGTAATGGGACTGCACAGACCTCCTTAGGTGCCATAACCGAAAAGATGTGCGCTCTCTCTCTCTCTCTCTCTCTCTCTCTCTCTCTCCATCTCTCCACACACACACCCTTATTCACCTGCTGAACCTCAAATATGACCTCTGATGCTGAACTGAGTGTACAGCATGGCTGCAGGGTGTCACATGCAGGGTTAATGCCCTTCATCCCCACCCCTCAAAGTAAGATAAATGGTGAAGTAGATCAACTGAGAGAAAGAGACTTGCCCAGGGCATCGAGTCTGAACAAATACTTCAAAGTCAGCCTACCGAGTGCAAATCTACATAGCCATTCCGCCATTGCTAGCTGACCACTCCATCAAGTTGGTCTGAAACCTGATCATGTGAATTGCTCCTCCAAAAGCACAGCTCTGGAAGGAGAATGTAAGGAAGGGTCTTTTGCATTCAAACATATGGGACCATCCGACATGTGTTTCTCTCTTCCCCCAAGCATGCCCGCTTACGTGAGCAAGTGTGTTACAGTGACCAAAAGCCAGCTAGCTAGGAAGCTCCTGCTCAGATTTCTTCACTGCTGTGAAATCATTAGCAAGATTCAGGCCTGTCTTGTCAAAGGGGTGCTTGAAAAGATTAGCCAGACTACAACTCCCAGGTGGCTGGAGTTGCCAGCCCAACATACCTGGAGGGGTCTATGCTGGGAAGGCTGATCTAAGGCATGGAAAGGTCATCACTCAGCCTCAGCCTATGCAGCACAGTGAAAATAATTCTGGCCAGCCTAAGTGAGACAAAGTACAGCTGCATTTACTGCTGTTTCTGTTGCTTTAAAATGGTTGCAACCTGCATTGAATTGGCATTTGCTTGAAATGGCACGCTATAACAATACAGATACGCACAAAACAAGATGTGAATCACTTTGCACACTTGTCAGTACCATTTAAAACCAAGCTGAGGCCTGGGTTCCCTTTCTAAGAGCACCGAAGAAGCCATCTTGCTCCTTCACCATGTAGCAGGACAAAATTCAAAACAAAATTTTTTGAAACAAAATTCAAAGTGATCTTGATAGGCTGGCCTGAAGGCAACAGAGTGAATGGTAACGGGACAAAGGACAAGTTCTACACCTAGGGAAAGGGAGTCAAATACAGTTAGAAGATGGGGGATATTTGGCTTAGCAGAGGATGCTGTAACTGTTGCGGATCACAAGCTGAACAGGAGTCAACAATGTAATGCGTCTGCAAAAAAAGCAAATGCCTTGCTATGCTGTGGGGCATCAACAGAAGAATAGCTTCTAAGGCATATGAAGTAATGGTTCCCCTCTATTTGGCACTAATTGGGCCAAGTACTTGAGTACTGAGTCTAGTTCTGGGCTCCACAGTTTAAAAAAGATGCAGATAAACTGGAAAAGGTTCAGAGGAGAGTGAGAAAGATGATCGAGGGACTGGAAACAAAGCCCTGTAAGAACAGCTTGAAAGAACTGGGCATGCTTAGAGAAGAGAAGATTGAGGTGAGATATAATAAGCACCTTTCAAAAACTTGAAAGGCTGTCATACAGTGGAGGGCCAATGTCCCTTCTTGATCATGCCAGATAGCAGGACGAGGAACAGTGGGCTCAAGTTGCAGAAAGCCTGGACGCCAGGGAAAACTTCCTGACTGTTAGAGCAGTATGGAAATGGAACCAATTACCCAGTGAGGTTGTAAGCTCTCTCACACTAGAGCCATTCAAGATTCAGCTGGACAGCCAACTGAGAGGGATATTTAACCTGGACTCCTGCACCGAGCAAGGCATTGGACTTGATGGTCTTGCAGGCTGCTTTCGGCTCTAATATTCTATGATTGTTTTGCTCCTTCTGTTTCATTTTCCCACTCTCTGGTGTTGCCTCTCCGTTCTTTTAGCTTTCATACAGGGTCCCTGGCTTGAGGGCTCGGGCAGGGAGACAAATGCCACAGACCTGGCACCTGATAACCACAGCTGACACCTTAGTTTGCCTAAAATACCAAGCCCTAGAAGTCCTCTTGCTCTGCATCAGTACATGTGAAGCCAAACGGCTGTATCCCCACAAACAGGAACTACCAGTTGCAGCCAAAGCTGCATGATGACAAAACTCGAATTCTGGGGAGATGATAAGTACAGTCTTGGTTGGCCTCACTGTTAGCACAGCAGCTGCCTGGGGACTCCTGGCCTGACTAACCTTATTTCTGCCTGTGTTGCGAGAAAAAAAGCACCTCCAGAACAGCGCCAAGACAAATCACTGTCTAGCTAGAATAAAACTTTAATCATGATGCTTGCTATAAAGCTGCCAAGAAACACACGTTAAGAGGCAATGTATGTGTCTGCCACTCACCGGCTCTTCATTCCGCTCACTCTCTGCTCGATGATCCGGTTCCTGATCCTGTGGTTCATTTGCATTATTGGGATCTTCTTCTTCTGGTTCTGCTTCATCTGGATGCTGGTTCTGCTGCTCATAATCTGATAATGCAGATCATTCATTCACTCATTTATCTCTCCATTTCCTCCCACATTTAGAAAGGCTGCAGAAGTCAGAGGAGACAGCCTCTCCCACATGGAATTGGAGTAAAATTTAAGGCATGCTCAGGTAGCACAGGATCAGGGATACAGTGAAAAGTAAAGGCACAAGAAGATGGATCAAGGCATCACAGCTAGTTCCAGACCAGGGACCAACAGCTCTGGTAATAAGCCAAGCTAAGCATTATCCATCTTGGATATAATGTACCAATTAAAATGCTTTAAAATTATACTTTCAATTATATTTTAAAAGATGTGGGATGAGTAATTAATAACTTACTGTCGTCATCTTCTTCTTCTTCCTGGGTACCTGTTTTTTCTCTTTGTACAACATCCTGATCCAGGTTGTCATAATGGGATTGATGACTGAAAAGAATAAAGGAAGGGGTTATTTCAGATTGATAAGGACCATTCATTTTTATAAAAACTGGGCACTGATACTATCCATTTCTTCCCTTTTTTTGGTTTTGACTGGCTAAGAACTCCTTTTAAACCTCTTTTGTGTTGCAGGTGGAGCATTAGTGAGGGTGGAAATTTCCTGATGGGGCCCCTCCTCTGCTTCTGGCTTCTTGCCCTTCCACTCTGCTTCCACTCTGCTTCTGCCATGCTGCATCCCACAAGGATCCACCGGGCTATTGCCTTTGCCTGCTCCAGGATGCTCTTCACTGATGGATGCTCTGCATACACCTGTTGCCCTTTCCAGGCTTTTCTATCCTGCCTAGAAGGCAACCAAGCCCAAGAAAGGATATTGGATATCCTTGGACATCTTGGAAGTACAGTCTGGCACTCCCACAGTCTAGCCCAGAAGCAGTGGGAGCCACCCCGAGGGTGGAGCTAACTCCATTTGGCAGAAAAGGGAGGAGAGGGGTCTAGTTTGGAATGTCTTCATAACAAGAGCTTTATTTCTCCGATAGTTGGTCTCCTAACTTGCTGGCATCTTTTCTTAATGGCTTCTGCAATACTCTTTTGCATCACAAAGCCAGCCTAACTGCCAGCTTTCACATACTGAAGACTGTACTTAGAAGGTTCTTGTTTTGATCTGCTTGAAAGGAGCATGGGAAAGAAGACTTCCAACAGCCAGTATTCCAGCTGAACCCAGGAAGTCACTTCCATGGGCTTCAGCATGAGGAAGGTAGGCATTCATTTTCAGACAATCTGGTATGTACAGTATCTTGTAGACAGACATTTGAAAAAACTGCTTTGGGCTGATGGCCCTTATGAATGCCACTTTCTAAAAGCTTGCGGTCATGACCCAAACCTGCTGAGAGATCCGTGATGCTCATCTTAGACCTCATTCGTGCCTCTAGCCCGGGGCTTATGGTCTGGCAGGGATAATGTGGAGGTATGCCAGAGGGAACCCCCCACACGAGGAGTATATTGACTGACTCCAAAGTAGCAGCACCACCTCAAGCCCTGTGAAGGCTGTAAAAGATACCAGAATTCTAGAAGTTCCTGTTATTTTCCAAGAATCAGACACGAAATGACTTTCTCTTCTCAGAGAGACTGGCAGGCACTCAAAGTTCATTTTAAGAGATAACCTTAGGCGGTGTTTGAATTGTTCTTCGTCCTGCTCTGCCTGTCTCCGTAGCGTCAGCTCTCGCTCCTGAAGCTGCTGCTGTCGTAGCAGCTGCTCTTGCAGCCGCCCCTGATGCAAGGACTCCTGACGCTCGCGGAGCCGACTGGCTTCTTCTGCTCTTTGGGCGGCCAACCGTTGTTGCTCCAGCTGTTCTTCGTAGGCTGATTTGAACCTTGCTACGGTCTTGGCTGTTGGAGGTTCCTTGGAGAAAGATACATCATATTGATTAAACACAAACTAAGGGAGTGCCGCTCAGTAGGAGACCACATGTGTTTACATGCAGAAGTCCATAATCCAAAACAGGCATGTGTGTCTTGCAGTCCTTTCATTTTTATTTTTACTCTAGAGTGGGTGTAGCCCTCCCCCATGCAGACCAGGACCTTAGAATAGGGTGGGGGAGGTTTCTAAGAACTAGCTCTGGCCATCTAAGCCTCCCCTAGACTAAAAATAAAAAGGCAACAGAGCTGAAGATACATGACTAAAGCAAAGAAAAACCTTTGCCTGAGACCTGGACAGCCATGGTCAATCAAAAAAGTGGGATGAAGTATCCAGCAACTTCCTGTCTTCCAAAATCTTGAGCAAAAGGGATCCAATAGTCTTGGCAGTTGTGTGGCAAAGATATGTAAGCAAAAGCAGCCAGAAAAGTTGGGAGGAAACCGATCCTCCTTCCCCGGAACTGCACAACAGACCAAACCTGTTAGACTATTTCATTTGCCCTAACTGGGAATACAAGACAGAAGGTAAGAAATGATCACATGTTTTAAGGGCTGATGAGTAAGCCCCTGAGGGTTCCTTGCTCCATGGAGGATGTTAGAAGATGGATCATTTATTTATGTGCTCAGAAATGAGCCTTGCTACAGAGAGGGACACAACAGACATTACTTTAAGGGTATATCTAGCAGTGTTACTGCTTTTGTTTCAATTTTTACTCTAGAATAGCCATAGAGTCCTCAATCCAGATCATAATCCTAGCTGGGGGAAGCAGAGGGTCCTCCATTTCGGATCCAGATCAGAGCCCTGCATTTGCTCTATTGAGCTCTATTTGACACAGCTGGGAGACAAGAACTTAAAGCAATACCTTCACTCCTGGACTGATATCTCAACTCTAGGACCAAGAGCAGGTCAGGAAGGATGCCAGACTCAAAGCAGGCACTCCTCCTGCTCCACTCACTGCAAGGAGAAACGGCCAGGTGTGGCACCCCATGCAAAATCGCCAGTAAGCGGCAGGGTGAATGCTAACACCTACTTCTCCTGCTCTAGGCAAAGCTCCAGGCAAAGAATCCAGTTCACCACAAAGCGTGTTGGTTGCCTTGGGCCAATATGACTAAGGCGCCTCAAGGGGCTGTTGTGCAGATCAAGTGAGGGAAGGCTGAGTTGTACCATCCTTGGTTTCTTGAACGGTGGGCAATGAGGGACAATAAAAATGCAATGAGATAAAAACAGTACTTGCTTGCTCATCTGAGACTCTGTTTCATTACATCATTAATGGGGCAGAGCTTCAAGGATTCCAGCACCAGCCCTTCTCCAAATTGTAAAATCCCTTGCTTCTACAAAGGCTTCAAGGGAACCCCGAAAGAAAGAAGCAGATGGCAACAAGCAGATGCCCAGTCCAAAAGAGGTTTCTCCCCTTCGCTCTTGAACTTGCACACACACTTGCTCACATGCCGCTTCACACAGAGAAATTCACATGTGCGCAGCTGCTGTATGTTTGACCTGATAGCACCACGGTGGAAAATTTTGGAGGCTGCTCCTAAGAAAGCCACCAATGGTGGTCAGAGCCCTGGGGCAAGCCATTTCACCTAGCAACTCAAACGTCAGCCAAACCTTCCACAATTTCTAATGAAGCCTGAAATATGGGATGTCCCCCTAAGTTGCATAAGCTTCAACAGGGCTCCAGGCTGACACCACATGAAGCAGTACATTGTGGTGCCCCTGAGACATGACCCAAAAGGCAGAGTCATCTCTCTGCAATTCTATTTACAGCTCGACACAAAACATGACCTGCATGTACTCTGCCCATGAGACCTCAGCTCCTTGAGGCACGCTACTTTCAGGACTGAAAGAGCCCGTCAAAATATTAGGACACAGCCAGATAGAGGAAAGACAGAGCTTTGGACTCTAAATGATGGGCCTTCCAGGGCTAGCATAGATACACCGTCAACCAGGGGTAAATGTCAAATGGGTTCCTTCATAATGGCAGCTTTTATTTTTAGCAGGGCTGCAAGTAGGAATGGATGAATTAAATATGTTTGAGCTCAGAAAGATGCTCTAAAAATCTACTCCCTGCTCATCTCTCGTTGATTTGTACTCATGTTTTGCTGTCCATTTTGCATTCAGTGGAACAGCACAAGATGAATGACTAGTAAACAGAAAAATAGTGCAAACTATTCTCAAATTTGCTCAGATTTTTAAAGTGGCACGTATTTTTCCCATAGACTAAAGTGAGGTTGATTGAAAAGGTACTCATTTTGAGAAAGTTGTGCATTTGGAGAAAGCTGGTTCAAGTACATATTTTCCGAACGAGTGTTTGGGAATTTCCAAACACCATCAGTGAAAATGTGCTCCCATCCCTTGCAAGTTGGCAAATGGGGCATTTTCAAGAGATTTGCAACCTCAAATGAAAATTCCCATAAATCCCTGATTACAAGATGCAAGTAGATTAAGGGTGCGATCCAGTGCATCCTAGTCAGAAAGAATGACATACAATTCCCAGTATACCTCAGCAAGTTATATTCTGGAAGCATGCTGGGAAGTGTAGGCATCGTTTTTTCCTTTCTAAACATGCACAGGATTGTGCCTTAGGTCTACTAAAGTAGGGGTTGCTGGCAGGAATGCCACAAGTCAAAGACAGGGAAGAAGAGTGGAAGTAGGCATGCACTCAATCATGTGGCTCAGTGAAGTGTACGCAGTCTTCCCCAGCCCAGCCAAAACCCAGGCTGGCAGTGCTTGGTGGAGGCTGTAGTGGAACTGGGAAGGGCAGGCTGGTGTACATTGACTGGCAACAGCTCTCCATAGCTTCAGATGGGGGTCTTTCTCAGCCCTATCAAAAAATACCAGGTGCCAAACCGGGAACTCATGTATGCATGGCATGGATTCTAAGGTTCCTCCCCAATGATGCCATTGCCCTTAATACCATACAGTACTTATGAACATGAATGCAAAATCTGAGGTGGGTTTGCTGAGTCTTCTGGCCCAGGGATCAGGAGACAGAACGACGGTAGATCTGCCTCATTCCTATAGGCAAACCCAGAGACCTTCCTGCTCCCACTGCCTCTACCCATTAAAATATTCATACTTTGAGTTGGCTACCCATGATCTAAAGCTAGCTAAATGTTTCTGCTTCTGTTTTTAGTTGCATCATAGTCAGATCTCAAACCAGGTATTGTCCAGGGTGACAGTTCTAAGAATGTCATAAGCGGAGCCAGCTGGAGCTGGGGGTCAGACTAGATGGCTCAGGAGGCCCCTTCTGACTCACTCTGCTTCTATGTTTCTAATGTGAAGGATGAAAAGGATTCTTGGGGCGGATATATCCTACTGAAGTGCAAAAGAATACAAAAATTAAAATGCAATGGCAAGAGTTTAAGCATTATCCTCCAAACTCAGGCCATGCAAAACTGGGCTGTTCTCTCTGTAGTATCTGAAGGTTTCCTTCAAATTCCATTGTTCCAGGATGAGATATGACTATTCTGTTGGAAATGCTTCCAAGTTTGAATGGGTATAATCATTGAAATTGAAACAACTTGCAACAAGTTGCTCAAGCTTTCTTTCTTGCTCTGTTTTATAAAGCGGGGGGGGGGGGGGTTAGATTGTTTTAAGCTCCCTCTGCTGTGTAAGTCATTCAAGCTACAACCCTAAAGAACATATTGAAGAAGCAACAAGTTTCCATCTAAGCAAGCAGGGCAGGCAAAGGAAAGCTCATGGACTACCTATGGCTCCCCACTAGTTTCTGTGGGCCCTGCCAGGTCCATTAACCAAAACCCGAGTGCTTCTGCAGGTAAACAAAGTGTATGTGAATCCAGCATGCCTTGCTTCTCAGCAGAACCTCTGGGATTCCACCACTATGGAGGGGTGTAGGCCCCAGAAGGTTCTAAAGGGACAATGAAGCTTCCTCAACCTCTGAAGTCACTCATCCCTGCTTTTATCAGTGCGTTTACTGTTGTAGCTTCATAGAACATAATAGGATCTATTTCCAAGTTAACCTCTACACTATGCTTGTGATGTCACTTACACACCTCTCTCCCGTGCCCACTCACCCACAGAGAGCTAAGAAAACGAGAGACAACAGCCCACCTCTGACTGATTGTGTTCATGCAGCATGTTGGTTTCTTCTTCAGTCTGCTCTTTCTCCTTCCATTCATGCTCATCTGGAGCTTGGTCAAGATCCTCCGTTAAGCGTTCAGGTTGCCCAGCTTGCTCCATTTCCTCCTCTTCAAGCTCCTTCTTGTGTTCCTCTGCAACCTGCTCCACATGTTGCTCCTCTTCTTCATCCTCTCCTGCTTCTTGCTTCTGCTGAATATTTAATTCCCGAGGTGCATGACCCTCCGGTGCATTTTTGCCCGGATGGAATGGTTCCACTCTTTCTTCTCTTCCTTCCAATTGGATTCCCTTGCTGGTTCCTTCTCCCCGTAGTGGTTCTTCACCATTCAGCGCAGTCTGCAATCATACAAAATATGACATATGGGTGGCCGGTTTCAAATATCATGCCAATTCTCAAATGGGCTTAACCATACACTGTACAATATGAGATTTAGTGGCTGTAAATTATTGGTGTAATCCCTGCTCAGTCATGGAGCCAACTGGGTGGCTTTGGGCCAGTCACAGACTCTCAGCCCAGCCTACCTCATAGGTTTGGTGTGGGGATAAGATTGGGAGCAGGAGGAAGAGAATCAAGCAAACTGCTTGGAGTTCACTGGAAAAAAATGGGATATAAATCTAATAACTTTATAAATACATTCACTCTTCCGAGATTATCCATAATAGGACCTGGGACTGCCTTTGAAAATGGTTTAGAAGCTTCAGCCAGCTTCATACCTTCATCCTTTGCTCTGATATCACACACCAAAGCCAGAGTTTTCTCCTCTCATGATCTTCAAGCACAAGGATTCTAGTTGAGACAGTTCACACATGCAGTTGTGAACAAGAATAAGTCAGTCATCAAGCCAAAGGGTATTAAGCAAGAGACATCTGTGTATGAAGTCAAGCCAACTTATTTTGATTCAGAAATACTGGCTAGAGCTCAGCTTTCTGTGCAAATCTTGCACCTCTGTGTTGCCTATGGGTTTTGGTTTGCAACACTCATCCCACATCAGTGATGTTTTCAGAATCCATTTTTCCCAAGCCACATCAACATTCCCTGCCAAGAGCTACTTTTCATAGCTCGGAGACAACCTGTCATTGTCCTTTATTCTTCCTTTGTTTATTAATGTTTGATGTTCAAACAAACAAACAAACTTTACAAACTTCATCTCACCCAAAGTTTGCTCAATGCAAAAAGATGACAGCTGAAGCCTGAAAGCTGCTTTGCCTTGCTTAAAGTATAGCCATGTGGTATTTGGCAAAAGCAGAGATTTTCAGTGTTTATAAAAAACAAGGAATCACTCCTGTGGCCTTTGCCATACACTAAGGCAGCAAAATACTGATCCTTTCATACTAATTCTAGGTCAGCTAACCCTATACTAATGAATGCAGTTATTCCTAAATCTTGTATTGCGGACTATTGGATTGTCTGTTCTTTGCCAATGGCTACATGTTCTTGCTACAATCAAGCAGGCTTTCAATTAAAACTCATCTCCTTCAGCATTCCCATGCAGCCATATGAAAGATACCATGAGAAAGCAATGGGAAGCACTGCTGAATAGCAGACAAACTGTTAGGCCTGTCTTGAGATTATGGTAGTCCCTTTAGAACACACTAGTGGGTTCACTTGACACAACAATTTATTTTCAAGGTTGAGTATGGGCTTGATAGGTTGTCACTGAGCCACATTTTTTTGTTATTTTTGAACTGGAGGTTGCTGTATGGTGTGAATCCAATTCATGGTTTGTTAAGTACAAGCAACCCACAAAGAGAAGCCATGGCTTGTTTTGAGTTTTTGAACCGTGGACTGTTTGTTATTAACAAACCATGGTTTGTTAGTATGGATGGATTTACGCAACACAAAAACCCAGGGCCCAAAAAGAATCCCCATTCAACCCATACTCAGCCTTGAGAATGGATGGACATGTTATGTAAACCCAGCCACTCTGTCAAGTGGGGCCCCTTTCTGCCCCAGATCAACAATGCCACAACTTTTGAATTTTGGTATTTGCACTATACCATTTGGACATTGTTCTAATTGCATGTTTGGTGTGGTTCTTTTTCTTGTGAGTTAACACCACAGGACCACACCAGTTAAATGAGATTCAACACCTTCAGCACCAAGTATGATAACTGTAGGAGCTGTAACTGACTGTGACAACTTGGAGAGCTCTTGCTCAGGGTCTCAGTTGGCCAGAATTCTTCCAGAATATTTCACTGCTTTCTCTCCTACTCCTTTTCTATCATCCCCACATTGTTAGTTTTCCACAGCCACTGGGATGCACACTTCTCAGTCCCAACTAAGCCATGTGCCTGAATACTTCATCTTGCAAACACTGCCAAGAGGATGGTAGGGAGCAATCAGAGCTGGCTGTGGATCAGCTGGCAATCTGGAGCAGCACCTTGCCCAGTCCATGTTCTCCCTGGTCAGGAAAGGGACAAGAGGACAACCATGGGACCTGCATGCTAGCCCTTTGGGGGTCTGGCCCCAACCATTGACAGCATTCAGCCTGCACCAAGGGGGCTTTCCTGGGAGTGTTCTGGCCCCATGGGGAGAAAGTAGGTCTTCTCCACTAGTTTAATGTGAAGCCTGATGTTGTCGCCTGCAGCCTCTCTCAGCCTCCCATCTGCAACACACCAGTGACAGTACCGATCCACCTTGCAGACTTGTTGTAAGGATTCTGGAGATCAAGTAAAGCATTCTGGACACCCAAGAAGCACTGTATAAATGTATAATTGACAGCCAGGTGTTACTACCTCCTTTTGTTCTTCAGTTGCATCTGTGCCATGGGCTTTGGAGTCACTTGGTGGAGAAGGTGCTGGTGTCGCCGGCAGGCTACTGTGCGGCTGCAGAAAACTTTCTGGATTCTGGAAACTAGGCATCTTTTTCAGGGTGTCCTTCAACTGTCTGTATTCCTCCACCTGGGACTAGAATTCAAATGCAACCATTAGATATCACTGGCAGATGAACAGCTTCCTATTAAGATCTGCTGGGATGCTGTCAGCTCCAAGTCTATCTGGGTAGTTTAAGTAAACATGCTGATCAGATCAAAAACACCCGTGTGCTAAAACAGCTACGTGTTTCTATGTGCCAGAGTGCACCCATTTAATATATTACAGCAGGCATGCAAAGTCTAGCGTAAAATCCCCTCAGCCCAGAAATGGGATTAGTTTTTTCCATGCCACGCAGAAGAGGAACAAACTGTCAGCAATGAAATACTACATTTCTTTTTCAACCCTTTAAAAAGAAAATAATAAACAGAAAGTTCTGTGAACTAAAAGCATACCGAAAAGGGGAGAAGATTAGAATTAATCTCATGCACTTGTTCAGATACTTGTAAGAAAAGCGGCTTGTCTTTCTTAATAAATCTATTCACTTTTAAGAATGTAAGAAGAGCCCTGCTGGATCAAACCAAAAACCTTTCCAAGTACAACATCCTGCTTCCTACAGAGACCTACCGGATGCCTCTGGGAAGTCCGTAAGCCACATCTTATGAAATCCAATGATCTGGAAAACGGGCACGCTGTTCTTGCATGGGAAGCTCACTAAACTAACTATAGCCTTGTCTAGGATAGCTACTGGGCCATGACACTGTGATATGGTGGGCAAACAACAGAAGGGTGTTCCGAGCCAGTGCGGTGTAGTGCTTGAGAATACAGGACGGGGACTTGGGACATCTGGGTTCTAGTCCCCGCTTAGCCATGGAGCTCAGTGGGTGACTTTGGGCCAGCCACAGACTCTCAATGCAACCCACCTCACAGAGTGGTTGCTGTTGTGGGATAACAATGAGAGAAGGAGACTTATGTAGTCTGCCTTGAACGGAAAAAGGCGGGGTATAAATATAATAAATAAATAAGGCTCAACTGGGCATGGGCCAATGCTGGAAATCCTGCTCATTCAAGCTAGTTAGATTGGCTGCCCACTGCTAACCTGAAGATTGGAAGCAGGCTAAGGCAGGCATTTTTTCATGGACTTCTGTCTCTAAGATGATTTGTGAATTTCTCTTGTGTAAAACAGGTACTGAAAATGAGATAGTCCTAGAGCACTATGTGCAAACAGCATTGTGCAAGCACTTCACACTTTTCAGTTTTCGATTTGGGCAAACTACCATATACTTTAAAAATGCCCAAATCATGCCGCATCTCAGAGATGAAAGTGGGCACACTGGCTCGATTCAGCAATGGCATGGGGCTGATGAACTGGAATCCAGGGTACCCAATCATAAAAAATCCATGGGATTTTCTTCTCCTCTATCAGATTCCTTTCACATCCCTAGAAACAACAATAGCATTTATTTTTGTTAAACTGCATCAAACATTTGATAAACGCAAACACCCCAATGTCCTGGAATCTACCAAATGTATCCATTTATAATAAACCCATTTAAAAATTGAGATTATCAATATAAGCAAAATGGGTTGGTCACCTTGCCTGCATAAAGATAACTCATGCTTTGTGTTGCTGCATTCTGAGGTGTCATAATGTGTGAATGCAGTCATGCTAATAAGCTATGGTTTGTTAACTATGAGCAACCTAGAAAAAACGTCCAGGTATTGTTGCTGGGTTGTAAACCACTAGTTGCTTATGCCATGAGCTGGTGTTACCCAGAATCATCAGTTGCCCATGGGTCCTTCTGCCAAGCTAATGAGGAATGGTCAGCCTCTCTTACAAGCCGGTACAATAACAGTACAAATATAGTTGTTATAGAGGAAGAGATCAGGAGAAGAGGGAAACAAACAACCCATGACTGAGTAATGAAGTCAAAACTTGATCATCTGCGAGGCAAACCCTAGCTAAGGCAGCAAACCATGGATCAAATTAAGCCATGAACTAGCATTACATATGAACCAAGCCAGTGCTGTCTATAGTGAAATGGGTGTTGCACAAAAAACTATGAGCGGACAGGAGAAGGGAAGATCGTTGGAATGCACACAAGGTTTCTACCATACCACTTTTTCTCCTCTTTGAAATACGTATCTTGTTATACTAATTGTATTGTTAAAATTGTAAAGTGCCCAGACATCCTGCAGGCAATGGGGCAGGATGTAAATGTAACAAATAAATAAATATCTCATACAAATTATTTTCTGTCTCCCAACACAGCAACTGCATCTCAGTCAAAAAGCATCTTCCAATGCATTGCAAGCTCTTGCTGCATCCAGCATCCCCTGCTCCTTGCAATAACAACACCAATTCCCAGCTTCAATTCCCAAGATTTTCAGGAATGACTGGAAAAATCCCTGCCTGAAATCCTGGGGTGCTTCTGCCAGTACAAGGCTGAATGGTACAATGCCCGACTCAGCCTAAGCCACCTTCCTGTGTTCCTATCACTGCATTCCCCATGCCAACGTTTGGTTGGGGATCAAGCAAAGAAAAGCTTTCATGAGGACTGCAGATGACTGCCCTGCTTGTACACTCACAACGAGGAAGGCGAGGAATCCAAGCTACATGCTATACTGTGCAGGTTAAGTTCAGAATCTTGCCATGTCACCAGTTACCAGGCCAACCTGTTCTCTGCCAGGATTCCAGCCATGCAGGACATTGGCGGACCACTCTGAGGAAAAGGCATGGGACTCCTTGGAAATCACCAAGACATCCAAGAACCACTTAAAGTACCTGCCCAGGCCCCCAAAACCTCTCTGACCACATTCAGACTCTGCTTCAGCGCCTAGTTTTCCTCTTCCAACCTCAGCAGCAGACCCAGGCAAAGGCCCACTGGACCACCATAGGGCTTTAATCAGAGTTCTCCTTGAGCCAAAGCATCTGCTTGGGAAGATGGAGTCAAAATCCAGCTGTGAATTTATGACTCAGCAGTTGCCCAGAAAGGGGAAGAAGCTGGCAACAAAGATACAAGCCTCTGCATCTCTCCAAGGAGGGTGACCAATCCCTAACAAACTCCTTCGTCCAACTCCAGCTGCTGATCACAGACACTATTTCCAGGCTTTGCCTACCTCGTGAGCTATTTGAGAATAAAATGAAAATCCTCAGCTACTTGGAAGAAAGAAGAGGTACAATACAACAGATCAGGAGTGTAAAACAAGAAGCCCGGGCCCAACTCTGCTTCCCTTGAGGCTCCAATCTGGTGCTTGGGCTTCCCCAGATAACCGTGTAGCCTTCTTCTGCCCCTTCCTCCCAGCCACTAATCCTTCAGTTTTCTGGGCTTTTGCATATCCTTCTCCATCTAAAAGTTCAAATACCTCTTACTGATTGGCAGAAAGAAGCTAGAATGGGCTAGTACTTTGAGCCCAGCCCTTTTGCTTTGGCCCTGGTCAGGTTGGATGTGGTCCCATGAGACCCTCTCAACCTGATTTCAATCCTCAGGCTGAAAAAGTTTCAACACCCCTGCAGCCAATAGGGACCGCTGATCACAGGTGTATTCACACTTTGAATGACTAAGTCTGCCTTCAGAACCACAGCAGTACTCTTTGAAGAATTCACACACACATATATTGTTTTTCCCCCATGAATAACAGAAGATCTGAGCTAGAGAAACTTCATAGAAGAAGGGAAAAACTATTGAAAACTTAGTGTGTAGCCCCTAGAAAGGAAAGAGAAATGCAGCTTTTATCCATACACATTCATTCAGTTCTATAATAGAACTGCCAAAGAACAAAAACAACATCATTTAGGTTTAGAAGAAATCCTTCCAGGCATGCATTTCTCTGTGCGAGAGAAAAGTTGGATGTTAACTGGAGATCCCTGCACACAGAAAGCTTGCATGCTTGAAGTTATGGTCAGCAGACAGAAAGGGGAAATTTGTAAGAAGCCTTAAAAAGCAAAATGCCATTTGTTAAAAGTGGAAGCTAATGCAAACCCACTTTCCTGGCTGACCTGTGCAGCTTCTAGCGCACTCTTGTGTTCTTCCAATGTCACTACAAGCTGATCATGTTGAGTGAGTAAATTCTTGTGCTGAAGCTATACAAAAGAAAACACCGCATCAAATTTGATCCCAAGCGTCTTTCAGCAAGGTGAACCTGAACCTTTTGTAAACCACCTCGTTTGGCTTCAGAAAGGCAGCAGAGTTGCAGTGACTATATAAATAATCCTCAAAGCCCAAAGTGGTGTAGTGGCCAGCATGCAGCTGGGACTCAGGGAATGTGTGCTCTAATCCCCATTCAGCCAGACTCACTGGGTGACTTTGACTTAGTCAGTGACTCTCAGCTTAACGCACCTCACAAAAATATTGTGGCGAGGATCAGAAGAACAAGAGGAGTCAGAGGATTACGTAACTTGCTTTGGGCTCCTTGCGGGAAAAAGTGGCACATAAACATGATGAATGAATGAGTGAATGAATGAATGGGTTGCCAACTGACTAAAGAGCAGCTAATTCATCGCCTGCCCTTTAACCAAGTGATTAAATACTATCTCTTCATTGCTGCTCCAGCACAACATTATGCCAAAGTTATTTTGATGGCTCCTTGGTTTTTATGAGGCTGTTTCTCTTATGTTCTCCAACAAACTCTGGGGCCTTCCATAAACTGGCACATTGGATCAGAGAACCTGCGGCACTGCAATTGCTCACAGGTGGCCTCCCTTCAGATAACTACACCGTGTGACTTCTGGAGGCTGTGGGCTGTTACCAGAGCTTATTTCACAGCAAAGGGGGTGAATACTGCAACCCATAAGTGCCAGCTTGTTTTTGTTTACCTAACTGTTGTGGCCCAACAATTATCTTTCCCCTTCACAGTGCTGATTCTCTTGTATACATCAAGTGGTAACCATGTCAATAAAATCTATTTCAATTCCAGGCTGAAATACAACGAATGTGGGAAAGTCAAATCAGCATGTGCTTCAGTCACAGTTGAGGCCAATCAGAGTTCCTAACTCAGTTCAAACCTGGTTAAATGGGAAATCTTGATGCTGCTACCCATGGTTAAGGTTGGGGTGAACCGCAATGGAATGAAATGTGCTCATGTACTGCAGCCTGGTTACAAGCCTGTGTGCATTTCCCTTGCACAGCTCTGGACTGAGGGAAGTAAGGTATATTTATGAGTTTGTTTTCAACATTTTAGGCTACCCCTCACCACAGTATAATGTTCTACAGCTGGTTTACAAACATACAAATCACTTGGAATACAAAACAGAACACAGAACAATATAAATCAAAAGCACTGTAAGGTATGAGCTTGAAACAAATCTTATACTATATCAGTGTTCAAACACAGAGATTTTACAGACCTGGTTATTTAAAGGCCCTAGGTGAACAGAAACGTCTTCCCCTGGCTACACAAGGACTACAGGAAAAGCGCTAATTGAAGGTCTTGGGGATGGCCCTGGAGTGCCACCACTGAAAAAGCTGTTTTTAACAAAAGCTATCACTGATAGATAGAAAAAAGGGGTCCATCTTTCTGAATATTTGTTTTTTCCTTTCAAAATAGGAGGGCAACTTGTGATCCTCTGAATGTTTTGTTCTACAATGCCCATTATTTCTGATCTCTTGTTATGCTGGCTGAGGGAGATGGAAGCTGTAGACCAAAACATCTGCAGAACCAGAACTGCCCCATCTTTACCTTATAATAATAGTTTCATTACTAAAGAGGTTTGCCCTTACTATATAAAGCTCAGATTTTTGATTTTATTCAACTTAAAGACATGGATAAATAGAAGGAGGAATTTTACAAGAACTTAAGTCCCTTTGGAAACTATTAAGATGACGTACAATATTGATATTGTCATGAATCACGTAATATATACTTGCTTCATTTTTTACAGTAATTGTTAGAAGAAAGAAAATTTGCAATTAACTTAAACTTGATGAATTTTAGTTTGCACTAAGACTGAGCAATTTAACACTGGTTATTTTAGGGTGAAAATTAACGTGCACCGTATCGTCAAAATGATTAATATGCATTTATATGTGCTGTATTACATAAATGTGATATTTGATTACTAGACATTGTACAACTGTAATTACAATTGCAATTTAAAAAGTAAATGTGGGTCATTGATCGTCTCCCAATTAAAAGATTTCTAAGTTCATAGTTTAAGTACTCTAAAATGTTCATTAATGATTCACATACAATCTTGAGGAAAAACACATCTGCATTCCAGATGAGCAATTCTTTGTGCCTGCAAAAACTTGCCCACTCTCCCCAATCATTCCAATAGAGAATGCACCACTGTGAATCCACAGGGATGGCTGTCAAGTTGCTCCATCAACTGAATTGAACTCAACTGAACAGGACATCTCAGGAGCCCCATTTGCACTTCTGGATGCATGAAACCGCCACATTCCTCTTTTGCGCAATTGTTACTGATCTCAACACAAGATGGGCAGTAGCTAATCCTGCACTTCTCCATGTGTCATTCACTGTAAACTGAGCATGTCCAGACAGTCTCAGTAGGTTTTGCCCTTTGATTCCAGATGTGCCTTCAATTCTGCAGTTCAGTATTAGGCGTAAAAACTGAAGGGGCAAAAGTAAATCAAGAATCACAGCTTCAATTGAAATTAAACTGCTGTGAAGAAATGCCAGAAAAAAAGGATACTACAAATATGTGGGGGAAGCAACAAGTTGGATGTACCATCTGAGAGAGAGCACCTTCACTCTTACCAGCCTGCCTAGTCATTCAGTTAGGGGATGGCAAGCTCACAGAGGTTCTTTGTGGGCCTCTGACCCCACTGGAGTCCACCCAGAGAAAAGCTGTCTATGTGTTAACTCTGTTCCTCTGGAACACTCTGCCTTTCGGTGCCTCCTGAAAACACAGTTCTGCAGGAAGTATTCCAGAACTGACTGCCTTTTACTGATTCTGTTTTAACACATCTGTTTTATCTTTTTACTATTTACCATGCTGGAATCTCCGCCCCAGAATGAGAAGCAATCAATAATCTCCCAAAGAATTGCCATGCTGGGAAAGAAAGGGTATGTGCTCAGCTAGTCCCTTTCCCTCCGCAGCCTGTGAGAGGAAGTCAGAGCACTCAAAACAAGATCATGTTGGCAGGATCCCTTGTTCTTCACCCGATGGATCACTGGAGAGCCAGTGTGGTGTATCAGTTAAGAGTGCAGGGCTGGGATCAGATCTGGGTTCGAGCCCCCGCTCAGCCATGGAGCCAACTGGGTGACTTTGGGCCAGTCACAGACTCTCAGCCCCACCTACCTCACAGGGTGGCTGTTCTCAGGATAAGACTGAGAAAAGTGTAACAAATAAACAAACAAACATGGGTTAGCTGTATGCCTAATTGCTATTGATAGCCATATGTTCCAGAGCTATCTTGGATGAATGTATGTGTTGGTAGAAAAGGGGTCACAGAAATGTGTAGCGTAGTGGTTCCAAGCCATGAAGTTGACTCGGTGACTCTGAGCTGGTCAGATTCTAAGTCCACCCTACCTCATAGGGGTGTTGTGATGATAAAGTGGGGAGGAAGAGAGTGATGTAAGCTGCCTTGAGTTTCTTGCAGGAAAAAGGAGGGATATAATTAATGTAAAATCAATCAACAATTTTATTTTCTCAGTCATAGGATTGTTATTCCCATTTATTTATTTATTATTTATTTATTTATTTATTTTAAATAAAATTCAATAAAACAATATAAATTAACAATATAAATTAAGTCACCCTGGCCAAAGAATAAAATGAATAAATAATATTAAGAATTAAAATAACATTTGAATAAAAAGGGATTTGTTTCCTTTTTCCCTTGTCTTGAGAGAGCAGGATCTTACCTTCACATCCTGTAGCTGAGTATGAATATCTTGATGGGCTTTCCTCAACTGCCTGTTCTCTTCTCGCAGATTATACATCGATTCTATTAAAAATTCAGGGCAAACAAAAATTGATCCTACAGATTTGGACTATGTAAGGAGAATTCAAATTATGCAGCTATTAAATATTTGCTCCCAAGACCTGATGAAAGCTAGTGCAGGCCAATATAGGTATAAACTTTAAAGGGAGGGCTGCTTTCTTCCATCCCCAGCAGTTAATTAAATAATCCAGTGCTATACCCTTCAGTTTGGAGAGTTCCTGTTCTTTCTCTTGCTGTAACTGCACATATCTCTGCTTGTGATCGTTGACAGCTCTGCTGAACTCATCTCCTTGCCTCCTGTGTTCCTCCTCCAAGTCCAAGTGCTGCTTCTTTAGTTCCTCATGTTGGCTCTACAAGGAACAAAGAAATGGACACACCACAGGATGCACTTATCTGAGCAGCTGCTTTGATATTTTTGGCTTGAGCAGGAAACCCTAGTTTCATGTGTTATCAACGTTCTGGACTGGACATTACATCAAACCATGGTTTAGCACAGACGTATTAAGCCTTTCTGAGCCTGAGGGCTCTCTGAGCCTGAGGGCCAAATTCAGTTTCAGAGAGGGACTCAGAGCCCACACTCTAGTAGTCGGTGGGAGAGAAAGCAAAAGGAACAGGGCCAAAAACCCCCACTGGTCAGCATATTTTAGCTTAAGCTAAAAACAGAAGATCCTTATGTTGCTCAAAGCTAGAAACTAAGCCTTAGGAGCCATTTAGGAGAGGCTTCATGTTAGTTAAAGCCAGTAAACAAGTCTTAGAAGAGGCATTTCAATAGTTTAGACATTGGGGAAGGAACACAACACATGCAAAAGCCACCAAGTGTTTGACACTGGGAAGAAAGCAGGCAAGGCCCATGGCATGAACATCTGGGAAAGCTGGAATGGGTCCCCAGGTAGGCCAGATTTGATCCCCAGACCTGAGGTCCAACACTGGGGCATGCTCTCTCTGCCCCTTCTCCTCTTCCTCATCCTACACTTTTCAGACCCAACAGTAAACCTCAGTTAGTTTAAAATTGGAAGCAAAGGTTGTTGAGCTATTCCTCTCAGCTGCACTAGAAAAGGGAAGGGAAAAGTATGTAAGCCCAAGGCCAAATTGCACAGCAGAAGAACAAGCCGAGGTAATGGGCTGGACGAGGGCCAATAAACTGAAGCTCAATCCAGACAAGACGGAGGTCCTGCTGGTAGGTGGTTCGAACTCCTGGGTAGGTGACTTGGATCTTGTCCTGAATGGGGTTGCACTCCCTCTAAAGGACAGGGTCTGCAGCTTGGGAGTGCTCCTCAACCCGGAGCTGCCCTTGGAAGCTCAAGTGACTGCAGTGGCAAGGAACACTTTCCTTCAGCTTCAACTAATCTATCAGCTGTACCCCTACCTGAAGGAAGACTGCCTAATGACAGTGACACATGCATTGG